GTAGGGCCTACATCTTAATGCTGTATCGGGATTGTGACCGGGATGATCCAGGAGGACTGGACCCAGGACACCCAAGAGCTATGAAAGCACTTTTTAGCAAAGTCAAATCGTTTAAGACTCCAGAGAACCTCAGGTTTCAAATTTGGTAAAATGCCCTCGGTAGTTTGGATCCACCCAACGGTCCTGTCCTCCCAGGAGCCCAGCGCACTCCTGTCCACACACCCGCCTCACTCCTGGAGGTCTAGCGCACTCAGCAACCGAGCGCAGTCTGCCACACGCGGGCTGCTGGCAGCCTCTGCTCGCTTAGAGCCTTCGGAATCCAGCCTGCGACCAGACCCTGAGCGAAAGCCGCGGCTCCTGGCTCTTTCGCCCATTGCCTGCCCGCAGAACCAAAGACGTCCGAGGGATCCCAGACTCAGCTGGACCTGGCATTCTTAAGAGTCCCTCCCCACCGTAGGAACCAGAACTCCAGGTCCGGGTCCCTCGCTGCACTCTACAACCCGCGTGTCCCGGTGGAGCCCAGCAGGAGTGCGATCCCCAATTCAACCCCTAGCCTCCTAGTCACTGACCCCCTGATCTCAGCTAGTCCGCTGCTTTTCTCGGTCCCACTGGGAAGCTAAGAACTTTTGCTTTTCTTCACTCCCCAACTCCAGCCCTTCTCCAGCTCACTGGGAAAGAAAGAGCCCTAGTCTGTCTTTGGAGTGAAAATTGAGCAGCTTCCAGAAAATTAACTAGAAAGTGGCCTATATTGCTTTGGGTTGTTTGGGATTAAAAAAATTAAATGAACCCTACCTCTCTGCACTCCCCAGACACACGAACATGACCTTATTCTTTAGTGGAATTTACTTAACACTTGCAGCTTTTTTGCTTCCAAAGCAAGTTTTCCTGTAACTACTCCGTGGACATTTGGGTGTCTACTGATTAACCACCACCACCCCCCTTTCCCATGTTCAGAGCTTTCAAATAATCGGGAGATTTAGGTGTCCCTCTGTATTCATTTAGATGATGGATTGTAATGGCTCAATAGTTCCTCTGGAACCATTACGGTCAATCAGGTCAAAATCCAGCTTGGGGAGGGGAAAGTTTTTACGTTCTGGAGGTAGGTAACAACCTGACTTCTACGAACATTTGTGGCTGTAACACCTCTGAGAATGCACACCCAGTGCAGGGTCCTGAGTCGGAGAGACGCCAGATGAACGCAAAAGCGGGTGTTTATTGTTGTGACATGGACATACAAGTTACAGTATCAAAACTGAAAGGGAAAGTGAACTGCATTTTTTTTTTCTGGGCAGTTCCCGTTTCGTAAGTTCTTTATGAGCACATACATAGTTTGACATTATTTGCCACCTGAATAAATGAAATAACGCACACACGCGCTTATCTACCTTTCCTTTATGAGAATACGCAGAAAACAGGAGTGTTTGTATGGAATTGCATTTACCATTACCATAAAATGTAAGGATAATGACTCGTGAGGCTCACACGTAAAATATGTGCAAAAGGCAAGGTAAATTTTTTTTATTATTATTTTGGTGAAAATTTGAGTTGTCAAAATTATTTTTTTTTACATGTAACAGATAGTGTTCTAGGGCCACTGAACTTTTTCTTTATCCAAGGTGGAAGTAAGTGCATCAGAAACGACCCAGGGTCTAATAACTGAGGATGATGAAGGAAAGTTATTTGAACGAAATTGTTCGTAGTTGGAGTGAAACTGCACCTAGAATCACCTTCCCGGGCAGCGCTGCGTCCTGGATGGGCTCTGTCTGCGGCGGTCCGCGCTGAAGGAAAGCACGTTCGCGGTAATTAAACATTTCCAGACACTGGAGGGTTATTATCTGCGGAGCGATTTCCGGCAGGGGACTCTGAGCAAGTCTGGTTGCGAGGTTTTAACAAGAAATTCCCTGACCCAATCTTAAAGAAAACGTGCCCCCTGCTGGTGAGCAAGCGACATGTCCCGGTGCCCCTTCCTCGAAAAGTCACAAATCCAGTTATCCCCATTTCATTTTACCTACGAGGGATTTTTATTTCCTTGAACATTTATTTTTTCAGTTACGAAATTTACTTTCGTTTGTTTAA